GCTTCCTCTGACAATGGCCCGCTCGGGTTCCTGCCTCCGAAATTCGGACGGCACTCTTTCCTCCGCTCTAGCCCCTATTTTTTCCTTCCACCATCCGGAAACGCCTTGTTGATTCTCCTCCGACATTAGGAATGTCTTCCGAAAGGGCAGATTAGAATTTTGCTTCCAATACGTCCTATGCAAATTCCTGACCATTTCCTGGCTTCATTATCCACCTCCAGGCCTCTGATCCGAAATTCCGGAACTCATCCGATTCATTCTCTGGAAGTAGGTCCTGGAAAACCATCTGTTCCTCTCCAGAAGCCTGTCAGTTCTTACATCCGACTTCCCGTCCGAAATCAACAACTTTCCGAACCCCTCCGCGTTTTACCCCTATTTTCCGGAAGTTTGTAACTCCGGATCTCTATTGGCTTTCTTGATGAAGGTCTCCGCCCCTCCGATCTATAACTCTGGTTTGCTCCTTGTCATCTCTGAACTTTTCCGGATCAGAATAAACATGCTTTGCGATTGTTCTTTACTGTTACTGGTACCACGTCCACTCCAGTTCCTGCCCATATTTCCTCCGGGTCCAGGAAATTAATAGCTCCGGATAGCTTCGGATAGCTTCGGATAGCTTCGGACGTCCGGACTTTCCAGTACCAAAGTATTCTTTTGCATTATAGCTCTGGATAGCTTCGGATAGCTTTGGACGTCCAGACTTTTTCAGTACCAAAGTATTCCTTCGTGTTATGGCTCCGGATAGCTTCGGATAGCTTCGGATAAGCTCCGGATATCTTTGGATACCTTCGGACGTCCGGACTTTTCAGTATCAAAGCATTCCTTCGCGTTATAGCTCATCCGTCCATTTTGTTGTCAAATCTCCATGTTTCCGAAAGATCTGTTCACTCCTCCGCTCCAGGACAAGTTACACCCGCTCCGGATCCGAAACACTCCTATGGGTATTCTATGCCATGGCCCGGACATGTTTTATACAATTGTCCATCCTCCGTCCTCACTTTTCCACTCTGCAATCCTTCCATCCGTCCTCCTGTCCTTTTTCCTCAGTATACCAATATCCGACCTTTACCCCTATTTCCGGAACTCAATCGTCCGGATTTCCGATGGCTTTCTTGATGGAAGCTCCTGCTCCTACCTCCGATGCACCCTTTGTCTCTGGACCGCCTCCATTCGGAATGGATATACTTTGCAATAGCTTGTAGTTGCTTCGGACCCGCTTCCGCTCCTGTCTTAAAGTCCCTCACCGTTCAATATTGTCTTCTCTGGAATCTGTTTCGGATCCGGAAAAGCACTGGTGATACCTCCGAAATTTTTAGCACTACAGTCCTGCATTGTGTTATATCTTCCGTTCCATTCCGTTCTTGTGACTCACGTCCAGTTTCTTCCGAAAATCCAAAGCTCCTGCTGGAACCCTGTGCCCATTTTTCCTCCATCAATGTTTGGAAAATTCTCCCAAAAGGGGGGATAGGGACTCCGCTTGAGTATTCACTTCACCCTCTTCAGCTTGTGTTCCATCCGGAATTTGCTTGCTCCGTCCCATAACGGAACAATTTTCACCATCTCGTGCAGTCATACATACATGTGCAGCTTTCCTATCCGACCCGTAACCTATCCGGACCATCCAGATGCATTCTCCAGTCGGATCTGCTTCGGATGACCATGGAAAACACGCACATTGCATTGCACATCATTGGAACATGTCCGGATTCATCCATCCTTCATTTATCAAGCCTGTCAAGAGTCATCCGACACTTCCACCTCACTTCCCTATGTTCCGATCCACCTCCTATGGGTTTCCGCGCCATAGCCTCTATCCTCCGAAGCTCCGAAAATCCGAACCACTCGCAAACACCTCTGTCCTATTATATACATCTCCTCCGATGATCCATTCTCTTCCTCTGCTTTTCCGACTCAATCTCCGTTCCGACTCCCATTGTATATTTCACCATAGACCCTGGCATTGCCAAACACTTACGTCCGGACCTCCTATCATGTTTTCCGACCACATCCGACCCTAATCCGAAAAACCCAAGTCCACCGAGTCACTTCCACTGATAAAACCGACTATATATCCCTAGTTAACGCAGTTGCCTGTTGCAGGACTTGCGAGCTAGAAGGATCCGGTCCATTTCAGCATACACCTCCACCTGACCAGTGTTGACCTTCGGACCATTGATTTCCTGTCCATTGCACCCTTCCGGAACTGCCTGGAAAGCATTTCCGAAGATCCATCCGAAAATCGCGTCTTTGCAGATATCGTCAATCCACGTTTCCGACTCTCTGTGTTTCCGATGCTTTGAGTTTCCGATATCCGGTATCCGTGTTTCTGATCATCCGTCCGTCCCATCATAAGGATTTCCATCCACCACACGCGTTTATCAAAAGCCTCGCACCGGATGCAAAACCCTGCTATTTGCGTTAACTTTCAGTACACCTAGAAACTCCGTCCACGACCTTTGATAGTGTGCAATCCGTGCTCCGGAACATTTCCGGTCATAGGGGCTAATTTCCGGATTTCCGATGATGCACTTATCCTTAGCTGTACCTCAGCACAAGCTCTGCTTCGTGGAGATAGATATGTCTCACAGGACTCCTCCGTCACATCAGAAAGAAGCCTGCATTTCTGCATTCACTCTCGCCCTCTTTTCCTGCACTCGCTGCATTTCCGTTATCCTGACATGAAATCCTCCGCTCCGTGAGCTTCCTCCGATTTTCCCACGCATGTTCCGGACTTCCGGTCACCTTCGGAATTATCCTCAATGTGTTCCAGACTTCCGCTCCGGAAATCCATTTGTCCTCGCGTCCCATCGCCATTCTTCATCACCGTCTATGACATCCAGTCTCCAGATGAAGTACTAGGCATAATAATGAACCATGCATGTGTCAGGAACATTTCCGAGACCTCCGGAAATTTTCACTCATAGGAACCAATCCTCCGGAATCCATCCATCATTATCCTTTGCCATATACCAGCAATCTCCGTTCCGAACTTCCTAAGTCTTCAGCCTCGAGGGCTCGGCCTTAAAGGGGGGATACTGTCATATCCCGTATTCCGGACCTACATCCGACAATATTCCCACGCCTCATCCGGACCTTCGGACACCCTATTCATGTCTCCAGTCCTCTATCCATCCGGATCCCTGCACCCCTGCACATCCACATCCACATCCACATACATTTACCTCCATACCTCAATCCACGCATCTCATCCGGATGTCCGGTCCGGTCCGGTCCGATCCGATCCGATATACGATAAGCTTCCTAATTCAATTCCTGTGCATATAACGTTAACACAGCCTATTCCTCTATTCGGTATTCCTTGTCCTCGGTATCTCGGTTATACTTACTACCGGTATGCTTACTGATCCGTTAACCTATGCTTCATTTCCGACTCGCGCTTGATAACTTTGCTTATGCTTCATACATAGCCTCGGACGCTTGCTTACTGATCTTTCCGTTATTTCCTTAGTATATAAACTCTTGTATATGTCCTGTAGTTCCTCAGTCTGAATATCATATTAGTCCTCGCACTAGATCTCACTCTAAGTCCTCATATCAGTTCTAGTCTATCGACTTAGTCAATATCCATCTCGGGCCTAGGGAGAAATTCCCTAGGCCAGAGCTCCGCTTATCCGCTCATCCGCTTATCCGCTTATCCGTTCATCCGCTTATCTGCTCATCCGATCCTCCGAAGTTTCCGGACGTTCGTCCGAAACTTTCCCGCGGTCCTCCGGACCTATTCTGCTTCGGACTTTGTCCTTGCAGCCTTTCCTCTGTTTGCTTCTACTTAGGACTTGTCCTAAGTAGCCATTACACGTATCCGTATCAGGACGAAACCTCATCGTAATTTCCGGAAGTTCCTCCGGAACTTTCCCGCACTCGTCCGGAAGTTACTTGCACTCGTCCGGAAAGTCCTTCCGAATTTTCCCGCGCTTCGGACATCCTTCGGACGTCCTTGGACTTTCTTCGGACATCATTCTGAAATTAAGGGCACATACTCGGGTAAGGGGCGCAGCGCACGAGCTGAAGCCAAGCCCCTCGGAATCAGTCCTACCCTTTGTGCACGGTCTTAACAGTGTGCAACTTAGAACATAAGTACCATTCACTGCTTGCCTATATGAGTGCTCGAGCTTCTCAATCTCGAACTTGTGCTGTCGAAGTCATTCGTGGATACATGTCTTAAGAGCTTGAGCATCTAAACGAACTTGTAGATAGACATTGTGACATAGTTGGTCTAGATTGGTGCGTTGACTGATGCCAAGTTGTGTCTTCCAGCGGCTCAAAGTGTCTGCGAGCTTTGATCGGTGAGCACGCTCTTGAATGAGACGAAGTTTGTAGTCAACGAGATTGTCCACATTTCCCATACACAGTTGTATTTCCATGTGTCGCAACGATCTATCGAGCTCTCCAAGAGATTTCTCAAGGGAGAGAATTTTTGAGATTTCCTTGTCATTACTTGTCTTTGATCTTCCTATTGAGATTACTGCATGAATAATATGACTGTAAATAATGAACAGTAGCACTTACGAGGCAGGGGTCTCGTCTGATGTTCACATTGTGATTTCCATTCCTGACGGACATGGGTCTCGTCCACTGAAAGCTCATGTAGAGCTTGCATTGCAATACTCTTCTTCTTCACGCAGTTATTCCACCTCTGGCTCAACCAATTGCCAAACAAGACAAGGTTCTTGTCATCTAGGTGCCGGACTTGAGTGTCGAGGACAAAAAGTCGCTGATGAAACTGAAAAAAGCAGTCAGTAAGTAGGAATCATGTAAATTGTAGTGCAAGGTGAATCGGCAATAGAACCATGACAATTTTAATACGGCCATGAGCAGCTATAACCTGTATGCAACTTCTCAAAACAGAAATCACTCACCCCTGAAACGCGTAGCGGAGCAATAAGATGTTTGAGTGTGCTCCATAGACACTCGCAACCTTCCCCATCCAAAAGGCCAAAGCCTTCACATTTGCAAGGATGGTATATAATTTGACAGGCCCATTGGTGGCCGTAAGCGTGAAAGACTGATATTGCGAAAGTCAACCAGCGAAGAACAGCGTCATCGAGGAGTCGATACTTGACACAACTTTGATGAAGTTGACAGCCAATGTCATACAAGAGGCCAACGGTCATTTTGGGAGGGAGATTATCGAAAAGTTTCTTGATCAGGGCGAGAGCATAGTGCTGCTTTTCTCCAGCTGACGTCATGTTAGCGAGCCATAATACACGATCATGGCGACATAACATAGCCATCACCCCTGTATCTGCAAAAAATTGTGTGCTAGCCTTTTCATGTTTCTCATCAGCGGCAGGAAAGGATTCACCGCAGCCATCCAGCACAGAGGTTGGGACTCGCATGCCATTTTCATAGCCATCCCCCTCCTCTGCGGGGGCTGTAGGTCACTTTCTCTTGCAATCCCGATCAGCGGGTCTGCTGCGACAATTTCGCACATGGGCGTCCATCGATGCCACCTCATCATTTGAAAGGAAAACTGATCTGATCGGGTTTGGGGGATCTGGACCTCTGCTGTGTTTGTCCGATGAACATTTTTGAGTGAAGCATGTGTCGATACAAGTATGAACATCAGGTCTATTATATGCTTCAGAATTATTTTGGTTACTGAAATTGATGCAACTTACCGAAGATTAAAGGTACCACCTTTTCGCCAATCATCCAAGCCAACACAAATCGGACAGTGAGACTTTAGATAGTCACTTGGACTTGTCAGTCCCTCTGTGGACGGTGGTGGAAGCAGGCGATAAGTTCCAATGAGATTCAACAAGTGATCTTCAGCACTCATGCAGAGTACAGAGTACCAATAGTGGGAGTCAAACTTGGCGATTCACGCCTCGATTCTGACTCCGATTTTCGACACGATTCTTCAACCTGAATCAACCATGAATCAATCGTAAGGTTGACTACCCCCGATTCTCATCACTGATTCAACTCGTTTCTCGAATGATTCTCATCCGAGTCGACTGCGCTTAAATAACCAATATATGTAGATAAGTACTATGCAATGAAATGTCTACTAGTGACATCATGGCTCGGTACACCCCACGTCAGCAACGTGCCCAACGGCTGTTGCAAGACTTTCTCCGATACAAGAAGATCCGCCTGCATTTAGCCCAGCGTCGACGAGCTCGTCAGACCAAACAGCAAATTAACAACTTTGCATTCAACACATCTGACAACTTTGTTACAGAATCCACTCTCTCCGAGCCATCATCTGAGTCACCTACTACTACCAGTACTACTGATTCCACCTCACAGGTATTCAAATCTGACGAGTCCTCAAGCTCCTACTTCTCGGATACCTCAGAATGCACTACCTTCTTGGATCACGAGTCCACTGACAGTGATGCAGATGCTGATTCTGAATTTTCAGAAGACAGTTCTGTGTCGAGTTTTGACTCGGACGAGGAAACTGACGGGGAACCAGTCACCACACACCATCAGGGACAAGTAGCACACCATGTACGACACACCCTACAAGATATCTTTGCACATTGTTATGATGCACCACGAAATGTTCGATTATTACACCCACCTGCCCAGCTTCCCCATGTCCTTTCAGTCACAAAAATCAAATATCCTGATCACTTCCGTCAGATTCTTCGTGTCACACCATATACGTTCGATCGAATCACAGCAAAAATCTGCACTGACCCTGTCTTCGTCAACCACTCCCACTGCGAGCAGCATCCTGTCGACGTACAGCTTGCTGTAACTCTGTATCGGTTTGGCCATAGCGGAAATGCAGCAGGTCAGTCAGCTGTTGCTCGTTGGGCAGGAGTGGGTCATGGTACTGTGTCCCTGATGACGAGGAGAGTTATGACTGCCATTCTTTGGCCTGATTTCATGGCTGAAGCAGTCCGTTTTCCCACTGCGGAAGAGAAAGAGGCAGCAAAATCTTGGGTTGAAGCCCGCTCGTGCAAGGCGTGGCGTGGTGGCTGGTGCCTCGTTGATGGTACTTTGATTCCACTGTACGACCGCCCTCACTGGTACGGAGAAAGCTACTTTGATCGAAAATGTAATTATTCACTGAATATTCAAGTACGTTCATCAACAATCATAGTCACTCTGCATTTTTATTGTCTTCCAGGTTGTTTCCCTGCCAAACCTTCGTATCGTCGACTTTTCCTATGGACATACTGGCAGTACTCACGATTCATCTGCTTGGGATGGGACCCAGCTGAAAAGAGATCATGACAAGTATATGGAGGGTGATGAGTTCGTGTGGGCAGATTCTGCATACCCAGTGTGTTGACTGTTATCATCAACTACTACCTGACAATCTAATGGCAATTGCAGCTGCAAAAGTGGGTAGTAGCACCCTATAAAGCCCCCGAGAAGTTTTTGGAACGCAACATGGAATTCAATAACCATGTTTCCATGCTCCGAATCCGTTCCGAGCATGCCATTGGTTTTTTGAAGGGCCGATTTCATTCTTGGAAGGGCCTGCGGGTGCGAATCGTGAATGAGCAGTCTCACAAATTCGCCACATACTGGGTTGCTGCATGCATTGGACTGCATGCATTTGCAATGCAGTGCGAGGACGAAGACAACTCGGGCTCAGATGACGAGACTGAACCTTTCATTGCTGAGGGACTGTCATCATCTGACTCTCGCTCTGGATAAAATATTGCACTGGAAACCACTGCGAGGTCAAACCGTTTGCATGAAGCACGGGCTCGACGAGAACAGTTGAAGCGGAGGTTATTTCGGGCAAAGGATCTGAGGAGGCACCAATTTTTGGATTCGAGTGAATCAGATTAACTACAGTATATCTACTGAGGAACAGCTGGTAAAATGTACTCAAATGAAGCATCAGACCTTGAAATAGGGTCGGAGAAAGGGTCAGCAGATGAAGCCCTTGAAGATGAAGGTCCTGGACCCATAAAACTCGGTTCGATGTCATCATGGAAGGCAAAGTCAAAAGATGGTGTTGCAGAGTGATGTGAAGCCTCACGGTAGTGGCCATGAATTGTCGGAGGCTGTAGTAAGGACAGTTAGAACTTTGAAGTCTTGTTGAATGACGAAGATGACTTGCCGTACTAGCAACGTGCTTTCTCGCAGCTCAATCTCGCCTTCGTTCTCTCTGGTCACATAACTTCTCGCGCTCCAATTCAATCTTTGCCAACTTGATCTTGGCCCTCATGATATCTTTTTCTGCTCTCACCTTGGCAACATCCATCTCCTTCTGCCGTGTCACCTCTTCGGCCTGCACGATCTCAGCAAACTCGTCTTTTTTCTGCTTCTTTTTCCTTGGAGCCTTCTCGTTTTCTGTCCCCCGTCGCTTCCGAACACCGTCAACATGTTTTCCGTCTTCAGAAGGCACCAATGCAACATTCTTCGCCGAGTCGTTCCCACATTCTGGAGTCTGCCTCTCGATATCCCACTCCTCGGAGGCATACCCCCCCAAGTCATTACCTGGAGCATAGTCAGGCGAGCTTCGAATAATGGCAGACACATCAATATCAGTGTCATTGTTGCTGAGCCCAACAGGTATGTTGTTCGGACGCTGACCAATGAGCTCGCGCATCTCAAAGAAGTAAGGACATGCCCCCTCAATCTCCACTATTTTACGGAGGTTTATTTTCAGTTGTGTGGGTGTCACAAATAGGTACGTACTCCACTTTGTCACGAATTGGTTTTGATGGCTTTTATCCACATCAGACCTCTTTTTGATACCGGCACCTGTGGCACCCATCACTTTGATGTACTTTAAGGTGTTAATTTATAGTCCTCGTGGTAAGAAAACAGTTTCTCGCATAGAACCCAATGCCAGTGAGTTTTTGGGACACCTTGATTTCTTGGATTCGAGCCAGGAACTGGAAACAAGCCTTGTTTGATATCCTTGTCTTCAGTGATCTCAGTGAGCATCTGAAAGGTGAGTTCTTCGGTCCACCTGCATACAGACATGGTCAGAATACACTGATTGACACTACTAGAATCCACGCACTCGATTTTGGGTGGCTCGAGGCTCACAGCATCACCATCCTCTTCTCTCACGCTATTTTCACGACCCTTCAACCCTCTCTTACTACCGGTCTCGGTGATCTTCGAGTTCTTCTTGCCTTCGCTAGTGGATTTTTCAGGTGTGTTTTTACTTGCTTTTGCCATGAGAACTGGGATATCAGTGACGGGCGTCATTGTTCGTTTGTAGTTTTATTTTCATCATATGTTTTTCATCACTATGTATTTAATTTATAAAAAAAATCCCAATGTAGACATATCAGCGGTGAAATGAATCGTTGAAGCGGCTCTGGAGCCGCTTCAATGATTCCGGGTGATTCACGATTCCGCACAATTCTGACGCTCGAAAATCGACATCTGAATCGCCGTCCGAATCAGTGCATGAATCGCCAAGTTTGACTTCCTCTAATGATAAGCGTTACTAAATCGACGACGAAGATTATCCTACAATAATATTAATCCAGGTGGCCTAAACTCAATATACACGCTTGACTAACCTTGGTGGTAAGCTGATACCCGCGGCCAGCCAGAAAATTTTCGAGTGTTTCACACCAAGTAGTCGTATTGGGAGTAATATGCACAAACAAAGTCTTGACGAGCTCCAGCAGCTGAAGGTCGACAGCGAGGGAAGGAGCAATGGGAGCGCAGGCAAAATAACCGCGAGCCAGGAGCTGAAGGGGAGCAGACGCGCAAGTGCAGCTCTTGATTCGTAATATCTCGATATCTACGATATTATCAGACAAACAATAACTTGAGTAATGAGAGAGACATACAATTGAAAAGTATACAAGTGATATCTAGAGCCCTCCGTCGACAAGAGGACTTACACTGAAAGGCAGCAACTTCATCTGGCTGCAGTCCAATGTGATCGCAAAGAGAGGTCAATTTGCGCAAGTATGCAAGGTAGGGAGTGATCAAGGAAGAAATAACTTTGTTTGTTTAGCACTGCCACTGATTTATTTTCTTTTGGTGGCCATTCGAACGGGAAGGCGGGAGTAACTTGGCATTGGAGATGTAGTGAAGTGAGTTATAGAAAGAAAAGCTTTCCTCTTGCCACTCTAAGAGATCCCCAGCAGATGGGATATTATGCTGGTTAGCAGTGTCGACATCGCCCAAAGGCTGTTGCTGCTGTGACCTTCTTGCTATATCGAGTGATTTTTGTGTGAGGTGTTTTCTTCCGGGAAGTACGAATAGTGGGGGGGCTACAGGAAGGTGAAAACTGCTGGTTTGCTGGGAGCGCCGCCTCTTCTTCACCATTGAAGAAGTGACGAGTCTGTCCTGTGCATTGGAAAGGGATGGAGTGGACAGCCCATTGATAGGGATGGATGAGACCATAACAAGATAATCAAAGGCAAGCATGAAGCCTGCACTAAGTTCAGCGTTGACATGGAATCGACTACTGAATGCTAAGAGGAACTCGAAGTCCCAAACTTGTGTCAAAAGGGAAGAGGATAGAGTAGCCGAATACATTGATCAACCTTTGGAGTAAGTGAGAGCTAGGAAAAGTGAAGAAAGAAATTCTACCTGTTCATGTGCACTCTGTTCTGTGAAACTAATATGTTAGTAGATATGCTGAAAGTGAACTCAAAGTCCCAAACTTGAGTCAAAAGGGAAGAGGATAGAGTGGCCAAATATGTCAATCAACCTTTGGAGCAAATGAGAGCTAGGAAAAGTGAAGAAAGAAACTCTACCTGTTCACGTGCACTCTGTTCTATGAAACCAAGATGTTAGTGGATATGCGGAAAGTGAACTTTAATCCCTAGAGCAACGTGTTTGTCCATGACAAAGTCCACTTAAGACCCAAACAACATTGGTAACATATGGTATACAAACTATTCGCTATTCAGGGTATATATTGTAAGAGTACAGTGATTGAGATGGGAAAAAGGCACACTATGTCAAAATCTACACGACCGAATACAGCAAATGAGGTACGATAGGTGGACGGCCAGTATTGTCAAAATAAGACTGGACATAGAAGAGACAGCATTCTTTCATCCCCTTCCATATGTCGTGCTCACATCCGGTAGCATCGAGAGGCTGATCGAGGGACTTGGGAAAGTGCTCCCACATTGACAACACCTTACGGAAACTTTTGAAGTACGGCAAAGCAGTGTTGAAAGATGGCGCATTAAGTCCGCCATTCTCTTGAGGAAAGTCCCTGTTCCAAACTCTCAATGACTTCGACGGGAAAATACTATGAAGAAGTTCCATCCTTTCCTTCCTCGCCTCCTTGTCCTTACGTGCATCGCGCCCAAGATGTTCATCAAGGTCGAGAAGTTCATATCGGAAGCTTTGCTTGCAGATTTCATACACAATTTGACATATGAGATCTGCGGGGGGATTGTCAAGCATGGAGATAGCTATGTCCTTTCCACGCCAATAAACATTTGTAGGTCCTGCCCACAAGGCCCGCAGTACCGTGACTTCCTTTGGAAAGAGCGTAGCAGTAGTTGCTTTTGACCTGCTGGTCTTACCAGACATCTGAGTGTTAGAAGGATACTGTCATATCCCGCGTTCCGGGTCCGGACCTATCACACTTATCATTTCTGGATTTCCGGATCCGGCCGACTTCTATGTATCGTCTGGATCCGACCCGCGTCTAATTTCCGTGCCTTATCCCTTTGGTATTTCCCTTATCAGTTAGTACACTTTATTTTCCGTCCCTTATTCATTTCTGTCTTCATTTTACTAAGTTCCGATAGACTAGTGATAGTCGTCCCATATGTTTTCTCCATAGCTTTACATAGCCTCGCACTGCACTTACTGTTCTCCGTTATGTCCTCAGTAGTATATAAACCCCTGTACAGTCTCTGTAGTTTCCTTAGTTCGAATATCATCTTAGACTCTGCTCACTCTCTCCTCCGTCCAACTTGAGTTTCTCTCTCGTCGACCTCCGCTCGTCTTAGGATCAACTCCTATAGACTTGTCACCTCCGCCTCTACCTCTGGTAGTCCTCCGCTGTTTCCTTTCTAGTTCGGACTTCGTCTGGATTAGTCTTATCTCTTGTTTCCGAACGTCCGCCGGAATTCCCGCGCATCGGACATCAGACTCCGGACATCGCCCGACGCCCTCCGGACATCGTTCGACAGCCCTCGGAAGTTAGGGGCACGTACTCAGGTGAGGGGCGCAGCGCACGAGCTGAAGCCAAGCCCTTCGGATCCGACCCTTGAGCACGTTCTTAACAGTATATTCGAACTCACACCTTACCGAGTATACTTACATCTGACTTCATGGCACCTACACGGGCGCAGACCGCTCTCAATGCAGTGGGTGTAGTAACCGCCCGACGTGTTAAGACCGTGCACAAAGGGTAGGACTGATTCCGAGGGGCTTGGCTTCAGCTCGTGCGCTGTGCCCCTTACCCGAGTATGTGCCCTTAATTTCAGAATGATGTCCAAAGAAAGTCCAAGGACGTCCGAAGCGCGGGAAAGTTCGGAAGGACTTTCCGGACGAGTGCAAGTAACTTCCGGACGAGTGCGGGAAAGTTCCGGAGGAACTTCCGGAAATTACGATGAGGTTTCGTCCTGATACGGATACGTGTAATGGCTACTTAGGACTTGTCCTAAGTAGAAGCAAACAGAGGAAAGGCTGCAAGGACAAAGTCCGAAGCAGAATAGGTCCGGAGGACCGCAGGAAAGTTTCGGACGAACGTCCGGAAACTTCGGAGGATCGGATGAGCGGATAAGCGGATGAGTGGATAAGCGGATAAGCGGATAAGCGGATGAGCGGATAAGTGGGGATCAGATAAGTGGAGCTCTGGCCTAGGGAATTTCTCCCTAGGCCCGAGATGGATATTGACTAAGTCGATAGACTAGAACTGATGTGAGGACTTAGAGTGAGATCTAGTGCGAGGACTAATATGATATTCAGACTGAGGAACTACAGGACATATACAAGAGTTTATATACTAAGGAAATAACAGAAAGATCAGTAAGCAAGCGTCCGAGGCTATGTATGAAGCATAAGCAAAGTTATCAAGCGCGAGTCGGAAATGAAGCATAGGTTAACGGATCAGTAAGCATACCGGTAGTAAGTATAACCGAGATACCGAGGACAAGGAATACCAAATAGAGGAATAGGCTGTGTTAACGTTATATGCACAGGAAATGAATTAGGAAGCTTATCGTATATCGGATCTGATCTGATCGGACCGGACCAGATGTCCGGACAAGAAGCGTGGATATACGGGATATGATATTAGGGCAATAGGACAAAGGATGAATGATGCAGGCTAGCTGCGGAGGTATGGAGGTGTGATGTACGGAGGTAAAGGGATCTGGACATGGATGCGCGGATGTGGATGTGCAGAGGTGCAGGGATCCGGATGGGTAGAGGACTGGAGACATGGATAGGGCGTCCGAAGGTCCGGATGAGGCGTGGGAATATTGTCGGATGTAGGTCCGGAATACGGGATATGACATGACGCGACTCTACTCCCATAGTCGATGCCTTCCTCAGTTTCTCACAGCGCCGCACTAGTGCACAAGGTGCTGCCTCCAGTATCTCACAACTCATGAATCACCCACATCCGTCTACCCCCACCCCCACACCCACCGGAAATCTTCCGCACAATGATTCTGACAATGAACTTGCCCTAGGCGGTAACCCGCCGGGAGGAGGTGGCGGAGATCCGGATGATGAACCTCCGGAAGACCCGACTGACGATGAAAACGAAGGTCTAGGTCCACAAGACTTGGTCTTCCTCTGGCTATCCCAAGCCATCAATAACCTGGCGCGTAACAACCGCCAATCCTCCAGATCCAGTGACTCCAAAGTCAAAGTCTGAGAGCCGGATACCTTCGATGGCACTGAGCCCCGGAAACTCCGGGCGTTCTTTGTCCAATGTGAGCTTAACTTCCAAGCTAAGCTGAAATCTTTCCGTACCGGCCGAACTAAGGTCAACTTCGCGCAATCATACCTCAAGGGCATGGCCCTTGAATGGTTTGAGCCAGACCTCCTTTCGGATGATCTAGCGGATCGTCCGGATTGGATGGATGACTACTCCGAGTTCATGTTAGAACTCCAAACTAACTTCGGACCTCATGACCCGGTCGGAGATGCGGAAATGCAGCTGGAACAGCTCTATATGCGTGACGGACAGCGCATCAACAAGTACGTTGTAGAGTTCCAGCGGCTAGCTTCCCAAGTACGAGGTTGGGGCGACGGAGCTTTGCGCCGTCAGTTCTACAATGGACTTCCGGCTCGCGTCAAGGACGAAATCAGTCGTCAAGGAAAACCCACCACTCTGTCCCAATACAAAACTCTCGCCCAGACTATCGACGCCCGATACTGGGAACGCAAGGGAGAAGTCTCCCGCAAAACCAAACCCTCCGCATCCGCGCCTCCTGCTAAGCAGTTAGCTTCCACTTCCGACCGGAAAGAGTACTCCGGCGGAAAATCCGGAAACGCTTCAGCTTCCTCCTCCGCCAAACTTCTGGACTTAATGTCCAAGCTCGGAAAAGACGGTAAACTCACCTCCGAGGAGCGCCAGAGGCGCATGGAAAAGAAGCTCTGCCTCTTCTGCGGCGGACCCGGTCACACTGCCCGGGACTGCCTAAAGTCCACTTCCCGTGCAGCCAAAGGTCATGCTAGCATGGTGACTCTGGAAGCCAAACCGGAGGTCTCGGAAGAGACAAAAAATTAGTCCGCAACCCTCTTGACTCCGTGCGGGACGAGGGTTGCATTGACTCAACCCGAGCAATGGAGCTACACCTCAATGCTATTTCCTTTTCCGATCCGAACTCTTTAGTACCATCCGTCTCTATTTCTACTTTTCCCGATATTTCTCCGTTCCCGGCTCTAGTAGATTGTGGTTCCTCCCATTGTTTTATAGAAAGCAAGCTAATCCGAGAAAATAACATTCCGACCTATGCAATTCCTCCACTTCCGCTCCATCTGTTTGATGGTACTTCTAATGCCACTATTACCGAGGCAGTAGATTTACCGATCCGGTTTCCGACCGGTGACCTGCACCAAACTGGTTCGGTGCATGGATGACTGATACTCTCCTATGAGCCCTATGCCCTATGAAATCATTTTCTCTATGATCTGAAGTCAGACTGAGGCTAAGGGAATATTTTTCGCCTTTCTTTTTATTTTTCAAGTGTGTACATAAGCAGCCTGAATATTTTAGTACATTTAATTTTGCGATGAGTTTTGCTTAGTCAGCCATGGTGATGACCCAGACAAAATCCCACGCCTGTCAGGTGACTGTGAAAAATATTTCCCACATATGTTGTCCTGGAAAAACATTAGTAAAACCCTAAATACTAAGCTCGCGTCATTTTCACTCATCAAAAAAAACAAAGAAAAGACAGACACACAAAGGATCCACATCATGTGACATTTCTTACTCTCTTTCTGGATTTGTCATCAGGAGTTGGATAGGTCACATGACTTAGCACAATACCCATATGACTCACTATGACTCACTCTGAATATATGACTCCTTATGACTAGAAACAACTTTAAAACTGACTCACTATGACTCACTCTGAATATATGACTCCTTTTGACTCTTGATGACTCTTGAGTATACTAGTAGCACAGCCACATTTATTGTGTATATAAAGACCCCAGTTTCTGAAATAATAAGAAGCACTTTTAGTGGGTGTTTTTCAGCCCATCTAACACTAAGTTGTGAGTAAGGTGTGATAAGTGTCAGTACCAGTGTCAATAAGTGTCTCAAGACTGAGAGGAACATTCTCAAGAGACAGTAATACTGCAAGCTCATCATACTAAACTACCAGCTTTGAGCTCACTGTGTGCAACAACCAGCAAGCAAGGTACAGCCACAGTTATATTCAAATTTCTATTTTCTTTTTCTTTTGTTTTACTTTCACCAGCCTTTGGTGTTCTTTGTCCAAAAAAATATATCTCCAAAATATTCGTGTTGTCTCTACGTCCACCTAAGACTCAGAGTAGCGTAGTGGGGAGACTTTAGGAATTGATAGTGAAGCTTGACCTCACTCATCTGAGTAGTGATACTGAGCCAAGATATTCTGTGCCTGCTAGGCTTTAGCTGTTGAAGAGGGGACTTGGTAGTAAATCCAAGGACGTCCGTTCCTGAGTCTGTTTAAATACTCAAAAGAGAGTTCCTTGACAGCAGGTTCAATATTGAGCTAAGAGTTCTACAATAAAGCATTTGACTAGTCTTGACCTTTGATTCTACCTGTTTTGTGCTGAGGGGGTTGATCATTGTAATTCTGCACCATTCCTTTTGGAGTATAGTTGGTACGAGGCACTGTTGTTGAAGGGGAACCTGAGGAAGAATCCCATATATTCTTTTGGTCATTGCCATACTGTCGGGCTGACCATTGTTTTGTTTGTTTTTCTGT